GCAAAATTGAATTAATGCATACTTTTTGCCCCTTTAAATCGATTTGTTCAGTGGCAATTGACCCACATTTGACAAGGCTTTCCTCAGATTCCCACTTTAATTGAATAAGTTTCTTTTCTTTAGTAACAAAGTAATCCATGCACTTCAACATAGAAATATTTTAACACGTGAAGTAGGCCATTTTCAATACGCCCTCCTCTAGTATTTAATTCTTGAAAAGTTACAGCCGCCGCCTCCAATTTATAAAAATGTTGAACCCCAACCTTGAGTGTTTCACACCGCCCGCCCCTAAAGTATTGTGGAGGAGGTAAATCGCGGAATGTGCATCAGCAGGTCAGAGTACAAGAGCTGTCATATTGATACTCATAAAAAGTCCAATTTCATACCTTGTAAGAGGCAGAAATCGAACCATCGCACTGTGGCTGCCAATTCAGCTGAAACTACCTCACTCCCGTTCTTTGCACCACTGAACTATGCTCCGAGGGGTCGCCGCCTCCAATTTATGGGTATAGTAGCAATTAGATCTCTAACCTCTGGACACATAAATTTCGTCCATTCCACCTTTAAAAAATCTAGACGCACTTAAAAACACTATTTGAAGCATAAATCCTTTCCCTCTCCCATCATATTTGAGTGAACGAAGTATATTACTTTTAATCTCACACGACCCAAAGTACTATTGCTACAAAATTAAAATGTTCGAGACATATCCGCCAAAAATATATTGAGAATCAGTTTGCAAAAATTTAATAAGTTATGGACCCAATGCAATTTCCTTTAATTCTTTTTCTTTATAAAACCCTTGTTCCTGTCGTCTTTGTTTCCCTATGAACTAAGCAAAATGCGAGTCCCCTCAAAGCCATTGAGGTGAGTACCTAGTCGTAAACTTCAGGGCCCCGTGAAATTAGTCGAGGTGCGTGTAAGCTGGCTTGAACATCTACGGTTATCAAAAAAAAAAAAATGAACTAAGCAAAATTATTCTTCATTATAAATAGAGTTAAGCCAAATGTACAGAAAATTGGTTTACACACTTCTACCACCTCTCACATGAGGTGGG